GCCTGGCATGGCATGGCGTAGCTTTTGTTTTTCCTTGTGATTCGTCCTTCCCCCCAACGCTACTCTTGCTCTTCTCGCAGGTCGACGAGCGGCCCCACGGCCGGGACAGGGGTTAACATAATGTCCCCCCCCTGGGGACCAGTGCTGTTGAACCCCCTCCATGGAAAGAACGCTCAACGGCCGCGCGCTGTGTTTTGGGGCCCTCGGAGGGCCCAGGGTATAACTGCTAGGCCGAGGGCAGGCCGATGGACCCACTGGGTCACTTTGGAGTATCCATCTGGACGCTCAGGAAGAGGGGGGCGCATCTCCGTGCCCCAAATCATATGTTGCCAGTGGTCTCAAGGGGCCTCCAAGGGACGATCCACTTTGATGCTCAGACAGCGGGGGAGTCCCAATGTAACCCCCTGCAAGGGGTATCTCCCCCAGGACACAGCCCGGCGGCAACGCCGGCAGTCCTGCAGTCATTGCGCATGCACGTTCGTTCGAATAGTCGGTGGACCCGGCGTTGGCCCCCACATCCACCCCCAATCTTTGTATTCATGCCCCCAATCCAATGACAGTGGGCTCTCGGTACATCTGCACCAGGTCATATGTCGACTGGGGGCTCATGGGTTGGAAAACCCGGCCCCGCCAGGATTCCATCAAAACCATGAACACTGGAAAAAATATTTTAAAACATCGATACGATTAACTGAAATCGAATTCCTGAAAAGGACGGGGGGCAGGCGGAGCCGGCCTATCCGAGCCAGGCTCGGAGGGTCGCGGGCGCCTCGGCCTCCCCGGCCGCCGTGTCCCCGACGGCGGGCTCAGAGAAGAGAGGTGGACGCGGGGGGGCCTCTCCCCACGGCGCCACCTCGCGGCGGCGGCGCGCCTCGCGGAGGCGGCGGGCCGCCTCCCTGTTGGCGGCAATGCGCGCTCTCTGGGCGTCGGAGAGGGGAAGGGGACAGGGCGGGGGAGCAGCAGGAGGAGGAGGACGGGGCCCGACACTCAAGGCAAAGCCCCCCCGCAAGCCTACGCCGGACACTTCAGGCAACGCTCTGATAGTGTACATCATATTCCATACAAAGGAAGTCATATTTCATTGTTAATTTTTCCACGCGCGCCAGCGCATGCATCGTGGCGCAAGCGGGCGAACCGACTCATGGGGCATCCATGGGAGGATCCACCTTGAGTATCCGAAAGAGGGGGAGTCTAGATGCGCCCCCAAACGAGGTGTCTACCTCCAGGACACAGCCCGGCGGCAAAGCCGGCAGTCCTGCACTCATTGCACACGCACGCTCGATCGTGTAGTTGGTGCACACCACGTCGTCCCCACATCCATCCATCCCCTCTCTTGTTTCTCTCCCCTGGTCTTCTCTTGCCTTACTTTCCGCATGCACGCTCGATCGAGGAGTGGGTGTACCCCACGTTCAACTCTTTGCCTCCCGCGTTGGTCGAAAACGGCGACGCCGGGAGTGGGAAGGAGGGGGTTGAAGGTGGGGGTAGGTTTCGAGGTGTTATGACACGTCGGACTCGACTCTGAAAGCTGAGAGAACGCCTGGCCCCAGCCAAATGGGGACTACGGAGTCGAGCACTTAAGAGTGGGGCTAAGCTGGTCCCCAAAGGAAGCGCTAGGGCACCCGTTGTTCTTCAAAGGCAGCAGTATTATTTCAGTTATCTTGTGCACCAGGCAAGGGGAGGGGCAGGGCAGAGGGGGAGGGTCTGGGTGGCCGTCACAGGGGCACTTCACGCCGCTGCGGCGGTCGGCGTGGCGTAGGCGAGCCAGCCCGTCAGGCCGGCAGCGTTGCGCACTACAAACCTGGGAACCACGCAAGCTAAGGGAAAATCGTGCCCGTGCCACCATGCACCTCCCATCCTGCCAGCCTCTGGAGCATCGTGTCTGGTCCCCATTTATCTTGCCTCTGGACTCGTCTGGCGCTTCCCCGTCCGCCCATCCAGCCCTCCTTCCCCGCCACCTCGCCTGTACCCACAGATGCTTCATTCTTCTAGGGAACACACCAGGGTAGGGGGGAGCCATAAACTAAGTCGCACACGGGCTTTCAGCATAATGCGATGCAACACACTGGAAGCAAACATGCCCGGTGCTTATGAGGACACCTGTTCTGCTGTCGCTCACTCACATGTGTCAGTTTCGACTCTCGATTTCACTGCTTTGGGCGCGCCGGCCCATCCGTTATCCTTCCTGCTTCGCCGCCGTCTGGCTTCCCCTTCCCCCTCATCTTGTTTCGTGCTTTCCCTCTCTCTTTTCCCCGTGCTGTCTCTCTCTCTCTCTCTCTCTCTCTCTCTCTCTCTCTCCCTTTCTCTCTCCCCCGCTTTTGCTTTGTGCCCTTCCTGCCCCCCTCTTCCACCTGCCCCTCGCTGGTATCCACATCCATCCATCCTTGCCCCGGTGCTTCCCCATCCTTTGTCCCTGGTCACCCGCAGAGTCCGCTTGTGCGGACTGGGAGTGGGCCAGAACCCCATCCGTTAGGGTACGGCACGACGCGTGCCGCCAGCAGGGCTCGCTGTGCTCCTACACCCTCCAATGGGGCACTTCATGATTCAAGCAGGAGCGATCCGAAGCTCGCTGCGGGCCGTCAGGCCCGCAAAGGTGGCTGCTCGTTCAATGCCCGACCACCTGGGGACCTTCCACCCCTCAAGGAAACGTAAAGTCTCAGAGTCCTCCGCCTCTTCCTCTTCCCTGGTGGCGTCTTGGAGGTATCTTCGAACGGTTTGGTGGGCTCTTGGGCCTCGCGGGCGGGCGGGCGGCGCTCCGCCCGCCCGCGCGCAGGGCGCAAGAGGAGAGTCCGAGACGTCTCTTGAGGCCCTTTTGGAGGACATCGATCGCAGAAGGGGGACGCATTTTTTAGCGTCGCCCCCCTGGGGGGCACGATCCTCGTGAGGGGTGTCGAATTTTAGCCCTCCCAGGGGTCGTTCTTGGACGCTCTAACTACCCGCGGCCCCCCCTGTCCAGGTCAGTGGGGAGGGGGTAGGGGGAGGGGTAAACCCCTCCCCGAAGGGGAAGAAGGAGGGGTGGAAGAGGAAACTCTTTAAACCACCGACGCCCAGAGGGCTGGTGGGATTCCATGTTCGCCCTGGAATAGGTCCTGCCACCCTAGGAGAGTCATCGTGTTGCCTGGAATGTTTGACGAATGATGAGCTTGCAACAACGTCGAGGCTTTCGTCAATCTCAGTATTGTCCGTGCTGATGCTCTTTGACTAAGCAGCCTCCTGTGCCACGAGGGCTCGTGGTGATCTCTCTTTCCTGGCGTGTTTGCCACAAGCTATGCAGATAATCGAAGTATGAAATATGAGGTGATAGTCTGAGGTGATAGTCTGACAACTCTAGTTCTGTATACGAACAATCAGGCACGCGGCAACAGCACGCTTGAGGTTGGCTGCACCTGGATAGTCACACCAAGCTGCAGTGTCGGTGGCTTCCAAGCGTTGGAGCCCAAACCTTCTCCTCCCCCTCCTCCTCCTCCTCTTCCCCCTCCTCCTCCTCCTCCTCCTCTTCCCTCCTCCTCCTCCTCCTCCTCCTCCTCCTCCTCCTCCTCCTCCTCCTCCCCCTCCCCCTCCTCCTCCTCCTCCTCTTCCTCCTCCTCCTCCTTCTCCTGCTCCTCCTCCTCTTCGAACGTCTCCTGGATGCGCATCTCGCCCCCCTGCACCGGCGAGCTGGCACCCGCGGGCCGTTGCGGCGATGGTTTCGGACGCGTGCCTCGAGGCATGCTTCGCCAGCACCTCTGGCTCGTTATCAAGGGTCCCCTTAGCCACGCGAAGCTGTTCTTTCGGGGGCGAGGTGAGCCCTCGAAATTCGAAGAAGAAAAAAGCACGTAAACACAAACTTTCGACGCTCCGCGCGGATTTCTTAGATCTGCGCTGTGGCCCCCTGGCGGCGCCTCCGGCGCCGCCCCTGGCGCGCTCCGCGCGCCAGGGAGGGGGGGCCCAGCGCAAATCCAAGAAATCCACGCGGACCGTCGAAAGTTTATGGTTATGTGTTTTTCTTCATCTACACATTCAGCCCCTCAGGACATCCAGGCATCCTCGACCGTCTCTGGAACGCTGCGACGTCCAGTTGCGGCCCTGGTCGGCAAGGAGGTGCTGAGTTTGGGGGGGACCGGAGCAGCCCACTGCTGCCCTCGAGGCATCGGCGATGCTCTTCGTTTCACTGCACCCGTGCTCTTCCGACTGCCTCGCCAACCGTGACGCCATTTGGTTCTACGCATCGGCGATGCTCTTCGTTTCGCTGCACCCGTGCTCTTCCGACTGCTTCGCCAACCGCGACGTCATGTGGTTCTACGTTTGCTTCAAGGGCGCGTTTGGGAATGCGACCGTAGACCAGGTCATTGCTGAAGCCCAGACCCCAGGATACGCATCTACCTCGAATTTGTCTCGCCCGAGGCGAATTGGAACGACGGTGAGAGAACCAGGAGGGTGACGACTTTCGCGGCCGTCCTTGCAGGCCAGAGCGGCCACCGCGGAGCTCTGCAACGCGCTGCCGCGCGACCTCGCGGGCGAGGGGGGTCAAGCGGCCGCTTTCACAGTCGGAGTTGTGTTGCGTGCTCTCGGAGGCCTCTTCTATTGGGACTGGACTCCGAGACTCTTCGCGTGTTTGGCTCTCCTCCGCCATGCGCGTCGAAGACCTTCGTCTTCGGAGCCATGCGTCGGGTCTCTGGCCATGCCGTTCCGATGGGCAGCCGTGTTTGCCGAAGACACACTTGGACGAGCAATCCCTTTGTGACGCCGTGTCAGAAGGATGCGTTGCAGTCCATAGTGTCGATCAGAGCACGACCAGGCGGGCACCAGCAGGGGACAGGAATGTTGGCAGCTATTCCGACCAACGATGACGTGAAGACAAAATCAACACTAAACTCACATGAGATCTCGGCGCTATGGGGCAGGCGGCCCGCACGGGTCCTTGCACTGACGTTCCATTCCCCCTCTTCCGCTTTCACCTACCCCAGACCTCCTCTTAATCTGCGTTCCTACTCCTCCAGCCGAAAGGGATGATGGGATGGGAGTTCCCGTCGAGCCCGATGGTGAAGAGCTCCCACAAGAGCAGGTGCGTGTAGAATCGGAGGACCCTTGAGTCAGCTATCGCCGCCGCCGTGTGGAAGAAGAATGGAAATGCGGTGGAGGATGATGGAGAAGGAAAGAAGGAGGCTCGGGATCCCGCAAATGGGGGAGTATGCCCCAGGGGGTGTGTGAGATCGATCGGTTTGGCACCGAACCGCCTAACACCAGCCGCAGGCAGCTGCCGATAGTTGCGGACAGGTGGGGCATGCGGGGTGCATTTGTTTGCGGCAGTTCGGTGCACCAACGGATCGAATTCATGCCCCCCCTTAGGGTCGCCCCCCCTTGGGTGGATCCCGAGAGGCGCTCTACGTCTTCTTGCACAGCCATTTTAGGGCGCGGATCCCTTGATGTTCGATCTTATGCTGTTCGCCACCCTTCCTTCCTTGCCCCCTGCTCGCCGCCCACCGATGTCCCCCCGTCCCCTAACCTCTGTGCGCATTCCAAGATGTCTTGCCAAGGACTCCTAGATGGCCCGGAGGATTCGAACACGACCCATCAGGCCCCAAGATGAGACCAGAAAAGATAGACACGTCAGTTCGTCCAGGTCAGCCATGGATTGAAGCGACCACAGAATCTACGAAGCACGAGAGAACCCAACAGGGACCCAAGAAAGGCATGGAATACCATCCATCCTCACCCTTCTCGTGTTCTTCGCCACCCCCTCGTGCAAGAGCCAGGGCACGCCCGTCACAGCTCGAGACCACAGCAGAAGTCGGGGTCAGACCATTGGGCGCCCGAAAGGGAGAGTAGCTCATTGTGATTGTGTGCAAACACGCGTTGACGGGTTGAGAAGTGGCCTGCCCAAAGTAAGACTAAACGGCCAGTGCCGCCCACTAGCCCTAGCGAGACATTGGAGAATGCGGGGTATGTCCGACGTCGACCCGTGAAATGAGGTAGAAGTGCGGACCCTCGTTCTTCCCTTCGAGCTCCCCAAACCTTTGAGAATGAATACAGTGGAGACCCATGCCAAGTAACACCCTGCTTGCCTCCAGGGTGCCGTGGGTTTCTTGGGTGTCGACGGTTTTGCTATGGAAAGCGTGACATTCCCACACCAAAAATCAATGGACGTCCTGGGGTCTCAGGGTTGGGTGTCTTGTGGAAGGTTTCTTGTGGACTGGCCTCCACTGTATGATTCAAACATCGGAACGGTCTACAACATACTAAGATAAATCCGGCGCGACCCAAATTAGGGGGTCTTCTTCGTTCCGCAGCAAGTCGAAGCAGCCCTGAGCAATGCAAAGCGATGCAACGCAAACCAGCGCTTCGCATTGCGTCGCAGTGCTTGAATCGTTGTGTGGCATTGCTTGGCACTAGTTTGCATTGTCTGGCTGGGCACTGAGTGGCATTACTTGACTGTGCTTGGCATTGCTTGGCGTTGTTTGGTATTGACTGTTCAGTGCATTGCACTGCTTGGCATTACTTGGAACCGTTGCCTGGATTGCGTGGCATTGTTTGACGTTGTTTGGCATTGAGTGGCGTTGCTTGTCGTTGCGTGGCATTGCTTGTCATTGCTTGGCATTGCTTGGCCTTAGTTGCCATTGCGTGGGATAGCTTGGTATTGCTTGGCGTTGCTGCGCATTGCTTGACAATGCTTGGCATTGTTTGGCACTACGTGGCATTGCTTGACATTGCTTGGTTGTGAGTAGTGTTGCTTGAGACTGCTGGAGTACGTGGTAGTGGTTGGCGTTGCTTGTTGTTGTTGTGTTGCAGAAGTTGGCTGTGCGTGGTTTTTCGGCGTTGCTCAGCATTGCGCGGCATTGGATATGGATTGCTTGGCGTTGCTCGGCATTGCATGGCATTGTTTGGAATTGTGACTTGACAGTTGCGCTGCCTTGGTTGGCAGTGCTTGGCATGTCGGGCATTGCGTGGCATCACGTGGTATGAGTTGGCAGTAGCCTTGCAGTTGATATCGTCTGGCACTTGACATTGCTTGGCATTGCTTGGCATTACTTGGCGTTGCTTGGTGTTGCGTGGCGTTGCCTGGAATCGTTGTGTGGCATTGCTTGGCTCTGCGTGATATTGCCTGACGTGGTTTCACATTGCTTGGCATCGCGTGGTGGTGTATGTCGTTGCTTGGCAGCTCTTGGCTTGTCTTGGCAGTGCTTGACATTGGCTCGGCAGGGCTTCGCCCTGCTTGACATTGCGTAGCATGGTGTTGAGCCATGGCTTGACAGTGGCTTGGTATCTAGTTGTACTGCTGAGCATTGCACTGGAAACCCAGGCAACCCGGGGCAACCCCGAGCGACGTTGAGGACCATTTTGACAAGATTAAGCAACGCCCGCGGGGAAGGACCCCGCACACTGGTTTATTTCAAAAAAACAGTCAGGATATGTTAGGCAACTCCTAGTTGGAGAACGTCCCTCCTCCCCCCCTTCCCATAATCCTTATCTCTCCCCGCTTGAGAGCGAGGGAGAGTAAGAGTGAGAGAAAGAGTGAGGATGCAGGTGGAGGAAGACGTGGAGGAGGAGGGACGAGGAGGAGGATCTAGGTGTCAGAGTGTTGTGGTGGCGTTTAGGTGGTTCCAGGGGGAGGGTCAGGAGAAGAGGGATCGGCAGAGCCAGAGACACGCCCCGCATCCTGCCAGCAGGTAGATGCGAGCGCGGCCCGTTGCACGCTCATCCGACGCAAAGTCCAGAGGGTGACACGAGTGGACGGGATTGACACCGCGGGCATGCGGCCATCGACGTGTGAGTGCAGGAGGGGGGGGGGGCACTGAGGCGAACGAACGCATCTTCCCCTCATATGCGTCTCGACTTGCCCCTTTGGTCGGGAGGGTGTCCCTTGGTCGAAGCTAAGAACCAATGGCCAGTGCACGTGGAACGGTGGGGGGTGGGGGGCACGGGCAAAGCCCTTGGCCTCGGCATCGACCTTCTCCCGCCCGTCCTCCGCTCGCCCGAGTGACGGACAAGTAACGGACAGCACTTCGACACATCGCAGCACTGCAGCCAAAGCCAAGCCTTTCGGCCCACACCGTGGAACGGGAGGCGCCCTTGAAACAGCGACGTGCGCACAGGTTCCAGTCGTCGCCCTTCCAGGGAGGGTCGAACGAGTGTCCATCGTGTGCCGCTCTGGGTCCAAAGTGAAGTTCCGAAGGAGCAGACAGTCGTTGGAGCAGAGGAGGAACGCTAACCATCACGGAAGAACACGGTTCGCAGCCATTGTTCCTCAACAGATGTGTGTTTCAATTGGGGGTATTGCGCGCGGCAAGCGTTGCAACAACTCATCCTCACAACGCCCCAGAATCGCTCACGTGAGGAAGCAGGACGAGGCATTCCTAGACATATCCCTTGACACGTCTCCTGGCAGGTCCCCAGACATGTCCCGTAGCACGCCCTAAGCACGCCCCCTAACACGTCTCCTGGTTTGACCATTCGTTGAGACGTCCCTGAGCACACCCGTAAACACGTCCGTGGACACTCCCCCTTACACGTCTGCAAGAGCGTCACCCGACACGTCCCCTGACAAGTTCCCTAAAACGTCCGCTAGACATGCCCACTGACACGTCACTACTAGACACGTCCCCAGGAATCCCTTTGGTCACATCTCTAAACACGCATTTTCTGACATGTCCCTTGACACATCACTTGGCACGTTCGCTGACACGCCCACCCACGCCGCCTGACCACTCTACTTGACACGTCTCCGAACTCGGCCCTCGGTCTACTTGGCACGTCCCAGACACGTCGCCTGACACGCCCCCTGACTCGTCCCGCAGCACGTCCCCGTACACTCTTCTGGGACACCTCCCGTTGACAAGTTCGTTGACGCGTCTCTTGTCACGCCTGCTGACACGTCGCTTGATAGTTCCGTGGCACCGTGCGCGAACTGGCACGCACCGGATGCGCCTGGATCGGACGCAGCATACGTCGCCGCGCCGTTCGTTCCGACGCGCGGCCTTCCGTCTCGGGGAGGGCGCCTCGGCCACGAGGGCAAACTGCGCCTCGGGCGCGGTGGGTTCGCCGTGGGTCTGCCACGGTGCCGGCGTCGTCTACTTGGGCGCGGGGCGTAGGGTTTGCCGTGGTGTTGGCGTCGTCCAGTTAGGCGCGTCGAGAACAAACGGCGCGGCGACATACTCAAGAGCGTGAACACGCACGGGATGCATTGGGGTGGGCCTCGGGACCAACTATGTCTCTGGATCTGGGGCGCACCATTCTCGAGCGGGCGTGCACCGGAATGGGATCGTCGGTTCTTCAAGACGGGGCTTTGGTGGGTGGGGAATGGGATCACCAGTTCTCTATGACTCGGCGGCGAGCCCAGGGAGGAAGTAAGCAGGGGCGGGCCTTCTCAGAAGGCTCGGAAGTCCCCCAGCCTTCCTGATTCTGCCCCGAAGACACACAAGACTCCTCAGAAGGCGCGAGGGCATCTGAGAAGCTCCGCCGCCTTCTGAGAAAGGCTTCCCCTTCTCACCTCCCCCCCTCGCTCGCCGCCGAAAGACGGGGGTTGGCGACCCTCGGTGGGAGGCCTCGAGCGGGCACGCGCGGGAACGGGATCACGTCCTGTCCAGGGCGGGAGGGCAGGCCTGTAGAACAACCTTGGTCGACACGGTCTTGTGGTGCGCAACTGCCATGCCTGCGACGTCGCGATGATCTTGCGGCCGTGAGAAGAGATGCGCCCATCCCCAAAAACGGCCCGTTCTGCATGAGAGTTTTCAAGATCTGGGCGCGAAGGGGCCCGTGGATCACCCCTGGTCGACATCCCATCGGGGGGGAGTGCCATGCTTGATACATCGCGATGATCATGAGCATGCGTGAGGCTGTGCATGAGTGAGCCCGTGCAGAAGATGTCCCAAATGTGAGCGCATCTGATTGTGATCGAGTCTGAGTACGAATGTGTCGCAGTATGGGTGAATCTGTGTGTGAGTGAGATAGATGTTCTGAGCATGGCTAAATACCCGTATGAGCGTCCATATAATTATATACATCTACATATACATATACATACAGATATATACATATGTATGAGTGTGTCCGAGCACGAGTGCTCTGATTCTCACTGAGCTTGATTATGAGTGACCCTGAGCACAAAGGGTATGAGTATGAGCGCTCTGGGTATGCGTGCGTCTCCTTCTTAAGCGGTTGTATGGTTATGAGTAAGTCTGAACATGATGAGTGAGCCAGAGTGCCAGTCTGCGTGGGAGGAAGGAGGCAGGAGGAGTGAGGTGGATGGTCACTACAAACAAGAGCCACATGCATTGGTAAGGGTTAAGCAACATGAGTATCCCTGAGGAGGTTCCAGCAGCGCTGATTGCGGATTCGCCTTGGGCGGCGTTGTGCTTCATGCTGACGTCGCGGTCCAAAGTAGGAACGCCAACATTGTACAGACAGAGGCGTGGATTGCCACAGTGCTTTAGTGTGTGGGTGGATCCTGCTTCAAATTCATTATGGTTCCGGTGGAGGAGTGCTCCCGGCTCCTACTAGCAGGAGATCAGTTTTCAATCGTGCTAGGGCAACGACCCCTGGTTCATTGAAACATCGCTGTGGGATCACTCTCGAACCGTAGAATCGCGCATTTCGTTATGCTGAGACGTGGCTGGACTGATGCTGCAACAGATGTTGCTCAATACATCTGTAAGGCCACGCTTCTTGGGTGCAGTCTGCACCCATTCAGGGCAGTCCATGGCAGTCCAACGCACTGCTGCGCGCACTGGGGTCCAAGACTCCAACGTTGCGTCATTGTTTGATCGCCCAGCGATTGGGTCGTGTACACTGTTAGAGCGTCACTTGCGTAGAAAACGCACGTGCCTGGTGCATAGGGTGCGGACCTCCGAAGGAGTCCTACCGCTTATTTTCTGTGTTCTGCAGTTCTTTGCACAATGGATGCAGGGATCACATGGCGCAGTATGCTTGAATTCCCCGCGTTCGCACAACCGACTTGATTGCGGCATTTTGGTACAAATCGTGTCCATCTGTTGTTCAGTTATGAGTTGACCATGACGCGCTTAGCATGCAGTGATTGGTCAAGTGTTGATGGGCGCTTGCCAAGCAAACTGTACAGATTGCGCGATCGAAAGTGGTCTCCAGAGCAGGTGTACACAATGGGCGTACTCGATAGCCAATGTTGTCTGAATAGTGTCGTATCCCCAAGAAGTTTCACGGTCGTGCTCATGTGATAGAGTTTCTACGACGCATTTGAGGGTGAGCCAGTGAGGCGCACGGAGTGCCTCGTTGGTTACGGCCCATTTCTCCCACCATATTCCACACGCTCGACGGGGTCACGTGGTTAAGATACAAAGCGGTCTTCAAAGTTGGCAAAGATGTTGTGGCCCGAAACGTGTATCGTAGAGGCTAGACTTTCGACCCCACGCCCATAGCTCACAGCGAAGCACAAACCATCGAATTCAATGTTCTGCGCCGACGCGGCCTCTGCAAATTATGCAGAGCCTTTCAGCATGTGCTGTTTGGGGAACGTCTGCGGGGCAGCAGTTAGTTCCCATCCAAATCAAGAAACAAGTCATGACCGACGAACCACGAATCGCGCACGAATCGCGCGCCACCACGGAGCACGGACAGCGAACTACGAACCACACACCATGAACCGCGAATCACACCGCGCATTGCCAATCACCGACCACTGTTCACCACGCGTGACCCACGCACCACGACCCATGAATCGTCAACCATAGACCACGCACAACGAATCATGAACCAAGAACCTCGCACGGTGCACCACGGATCGCAAATCACGGACCACGAACCTTGCCGAAAGAATCAGAGGCCGCGCACCACCCACCAAGAAGAGCGAACCACGCAGCGCGAACCGCGAGCCAGGAATCACGCACCACGAACCTTGCACACCAGATCACGGGGGACGAATCACGACCACGAGCCGCAAACCGCGAACCACGTACAGTAGGTTCGTGTCGTGTCAACCGGCGGCGACCCCGCCAGCGGCGTTCAACGTTGAACGCCGCGGGCGACCCAGAATCGTTCGATGTGGAACGATTCGGACGTTTCGGAAACGGCCGATCTTTCAAGGTTGAGCGATCCCCGCGGTGTCAGAAACCAACGCCGAAGTCGGCACGACACGAACCTGACGTAACTACCATGAACCACCATTCCACGAAGTTCGATTCCCCGCGAGTTCCGCACCGCGAACCACGGACCCCGAGCCACGCTTCGCGAAGCCCGCGCTTCGGACCGCGGTGCCTTTCCAGCACGCTGCCGCGGGCGCCACACGGGCGCGGCCGCGGGCAGACGACCGATCGAAAGACTGGCGCCGATCCATCCGACGAGATGCCTGCGCGGGAGTTTGGCCGGAGCCAGGGCCGCGCCACGATCGGGCAAGAGATCGAGGCGAGACAGGCCCCGACCGGAGAACGACCGCCACGCGAGGAGCCCGAGGCAGCCGCTTTTGGACTGCCGCGCCATTGCCGCCGCCACAACCAGGGCGTGGCAGGACACACCTCTCTGTGCCTGCCTGCCCCCACCGAAGGAACGAGGAACCGCGATCAAGTCGGAACCCCCCTCCCCGCACGCGAAGAATCGCGCTGGGCCGGTCGGGCGACGCTCTTGGCCCCCAGGGAAGACGACCCCGAGGCCATCGCGGGGCTCTCCCGGGAGGGCGCGGGAGGCGGCCTGGGCCGTCCCCTGGAGGTGCCGTCCGCGGCGGCCGGGCCGCGCACCGAAGGAGAAAGAGCTGCGCAGGCGCAGACTTTCAGAGCTCCGCGCGGGCTGCGTGGAGCGACCACACGTCAGAGTGACCTTTTCGCCGGAGTGGCCTCTGGTGCGGGCCCACTGGCCCCCCCGCGCCATCGCCGAATGCGCTGCGGTAGCAGCGGCCTGCGCGCTGGGGCCTGGCCCCCTCGCGCGCCCCCAAAAGCCGCGCACCAAGGGCCACGCTCTGCCTGGGGTCACTCCTGCGGTGCAGCCGAGCGAATCTGCACACAGGCGAGAGGGCTATGTCGGGCGTGCCCCCCCCCTTACAGGGGGATTTTGACTGAAACATTAAAAATACCCGAAAATACCCCCAAAGGGTGTTTTATATATATATAAAAAAAAAAGGCCCGACTTACGACCAGGTCCAGAGTTGGCCGCCGCCCGCCACCCCGGCCGTGGGCCACGGCGCGACCAAGCTGCACGGCGGACCAGCAGCCCACGCGCGAGGGGCCACGGCGGGGGCCACGGGGCCTCGACCACAGCGAGGGTCGGCGAGCATGCTGCACACAGAGGGGCCAGAAGAACGGCCCGCGCCCACGCCACACGATGCAAAGCACGACGAGGCGGGCCCACAGGCCGCGAGGCGACGCGCTGGGGAAATGAACGCAGCCCCATCCACGCACGAAGGCTCACGACAGCCCGGCATTCCTGACGCGACGTCGCCCCTGGAGCACTGTCGCTTGTAAAACGGTGCAGTTTACCGGCATGAGCAGTCCTCTCAGGATTGGGTCACGATGGTTCTTTGTCGGAAAAAAACAGCAAGAAGAATGAACAAAAGAAAAAGAAATGAACAAAAAACGTTTGGCAAATGACCCAACCATATGCAGTTGTGCGTATTGCAATTGTGAATCGCTTCTTCGGTAGCGCTCCCTATGTGGCCACGGACCCTGTGAGGGGTGTGCAGAAATGGATGCGGCGGACGCATGTGGACGGTGGCACTGGGGCCTTCGGTGGAGCTCCATATGGGGCCACGAAACGGGTGAGGGGTGTGCCGAAATGGGTGTGGGGGACGCAAGCGGGCGGTGGCACTGGAGCCTTTGGTGAAGTTCACTATGGGGTGGCGAAACGTGTGAGGGGTGTGCCGAAATGGGCGTGGGGACAGCATGCAGGCACCCCCACTGGGGCCTTCGGTGGAGCTCCCGATGGAGCCACGAAACGTGTGAGAGGTGTGCCAGAATGGGTGTGGGGACCGCATGCGGGCACCCCCACAAGGACCTTCCTTGGAGCTCCCGATGGAGCCACGAAACGTGTGGGCGGTGTGCCAAAATGAATCTGGGGGCCGCGTGCGGGCACCCCCACTAGGGCTTTCGGTGGAGTTCACGATGGGGTGGCGAAACGTGTGAGGGGTGTGCCGAAATCGGTGTGGGGATCACCTGCGGGCACCCCCACAAGGACCTTTCTTGGAGCTCCCTATGGGGCCACGAAACGTGTCAGGGGTGAGCCAAAATGGGCGTGGGGGACTGCATGCGGGCACCCCCCCTAGGGCCTTCGGTGGAGCTCCCTATGGCGTGCCAAAGTGAGGGAGGTGACTGGAGGAGGCAGGAGGGGAGGGAGGAGGAGCACAGGAGAACGCGGGGACCGTCTTGTCAGAAAGAGGACCCAACACCACAGGATGGTTGGGAGGAAAGAAGAACAGAAAGCAAAAACAAATTTATCCGGGCGAAAGACCCAACCATACGCAGTTGTGAGTAACGCGTTGTGGGTGCCGTTTTCGGTGGAGCTCCTTATGGGGCCACGAAACGCGTGAGGATCGTGCCGTAATGAGTGGGGGAGACGCATGCGGGCGGTGCCACTGGGGCCTTCGGTGGGGCTCCCTACGAGCCACGAAACATTGAACTGGGTGTGGCGGACGCCTGTGGCCGCCCCCACTGGGGCCGCAGATGGAGCTCCCTATGGGGCCACCAAACGCTGTGTTGGGTGTGGCGGACGCATGTGGCCACCCCCACTGGGGCCTGAGGTGGAACTTCCTATGGGGCCACGAAACGCTGTGTTGGGTGTGGCGGACGCATGTGGCCACCCCCACTGGTAGCTTGAGGTGGAGCTTCCTATGGGGCCACGAAGCGCCGTACTGGGTGTGGCGGACGCATGTGGCCACCCCCACTGGGGGCCGCAGGTGGGGCTCCCTCCGGGCCACGAAACACTGCACAGGGTGTGGCGGACGCATGTGGCCGCCCCAATTGGAGCCGCAGATGGAGTTCCCTACAGGGCCACGAAACGCTGTACTGGGTGTGGCGGACGCATGTGGCCTCCCCCATTGAGGGCCGCAGATGAAATTCCCTACGGGGCGACAAATCGCTGTACTGGGTGTGGCGGACGCATGTGGCCACCCCCACTGGGGCCGCAGACGGAATTCCCTATGGGGCCACGAAGCGCTGTACTGGGTGTGGCGGACGCATGTGGCCACCCCCATTGGGGCCATAGGTGGGGTTTCCCGTGGGGCCACCAAACGCTGTACTGGGTGTGGCGGACGCATGTGGCCGCCCCCACTGGGGGCCGCAGGTGAGGCTCCCTCCGGGCCACGAAACACTGCACAGGGTGTGGCGGACGCATGTGGCCGCCCCCATTGGGGCCGCAGATGGAGCTCCCATGGGGCCACGAAGCGCTGTAGTGGGTGTGGCGGACGCATGTGGCCACCCCCACTGGGGCCGCAAATGGAGTTCCCTATGGGGCCACGAAGCGCTGTACTGGGTGTGGCGGACGCATGTGGCCGCCCCCACTGGGGCCGCAGATGGAGCTCCCTATGGGGCCACCAAACGCTGTGTTGGGTGTGGCGGACGCATGTGGCCACCCCCACTGGGGCCTGAGGTGGAACTTCCTATGGGGCCACGAAACGCTGTGTTGGGTGTGGCGGACGCATGTGGCCACCCCCACTGAGAGCCTGAGGTGGAGCTTCCTATGGGGCCACGAAGCGCCGTACTGGGTGTGGCGGACGCATGTGGCCACCCCCACTGGGGCAACAGATGGAGTTCTCTATGGGGCCACCAAGCGCTGTACTGGGTGTGGCGGACGCATATGGCCACCCCCAGTGGGGCTTGAGGTGAAACTTCCTATGGGGCCACGAAACACTGAACTGGGAGTGGCGGGCGCATGTGGCCACCCCAACTGGGAGCTTGAGGTGGAGTTCCCTGTGGGGCCACCAAACGCTGTCTGGGTGTGGCGGACGCATGTGGCCACCCCCACTGGGGCATCAGGTGGAGCTCCCTATGGGGCCACGAGACGCTTTGGTGTGGCGGACTCGTGTGGCCACCCCACCTGGGCCCTTAGGTGGAGCTACCCATGGGGCCGCCAAACACTGTACTGAGTGTGGCGGACGCATGTGGGCGCCCCCATTGGGGCCGCAGATGGAGTTCCCTCTGGGGCCACGAAACGCTGTACTGGGTGTGGCGGACGCATGTGGCCACCCCCACCGGGGCCTGAGGTGGAGTTCCCTATGGGGCCACGAAACGCTGAACTGGGTGTGGCGGACGCATGTGGCCAGCCCCATTGGGAGCTTGAGGTGGAGCTCCTAATGGGGCCACGAAACGCTGTGTTGGGTGTGGCGGACGCATGTGGCCCCCCCCCCCCCCCCCCTGGGGCATCAGGTGGAGCTCCTAATGGGGCCACGAAACGCTTTGGTGTGGCGGACTCATGTGGCCACCCCACCTGGGCCCGTAGGTGGAGCTACCCATGGGGCCGCCAAACACTGCACTGAGTGTGGCGGACGCATGTGGCCGCATGGGGCCACGAAACGCTGTACTGGGTTTGGCGGACGCATGTGGCCACCCGCACCGGGGCCTGAGGTGGAGTTCCTTATGGGGCCACGAAGCGTTGAACTGGGTGTGGCGGACGCATGTGGCCACCCCCACTGGGGCCTGAGGTGGAGCTCCCTATGGGGCCACGAAGCGCTGTGTTGGGTGTGGCGGACGCATGTGGCCACCCCCACTGGGGCCGCAGATGGAATTCCCTATGGGGCCACGAAGCGCTGTACTGGGTGTGGCGGACGCATGTGGCCACCCCCACTTGGAGCCTGAGGTTGAGCTCCCTGTGGGGCCACCAAACGCTGTCTGGGTGTGGCGGACGCATGTGGCCACCCCCATTGGGGCCGCAGATGGAGTTCCCTATGGGGCCACGAAGCGCTGTGTTGGGTGTGGCGGACGCATGTGGCCACCCCCACCGGGGCTTGAGGTGGAGTTCCCTATGGGGCCACGAAACGCTGAACTGGGTGTGGCGGACGCATGTGGCCACCCCCGCTGGGGCCTGAGGTGGAGCTCCCTGTGGGGCCACGAAACGCTGTGTCGGGTGTGGCGGTCGCATGTGGCCACCCCTACTTGGGAGGGGGGGGGGGGGCAGCGGGCGGGAGGAGACGCGGGGACCGTCTCCTCAAAACGATGGCCCAACACCATAGGATAGTTGGGAAAAAACGAAGGTTCACGAGAGGCCCACGGGCCCGCGACCGTTCCGGTGAAAGAGTCTTGCGCACACGCGAGCGACCACCAGCGGGCCAGCAACCTCACGGAGACCAAGTCGGACTGCGAACGCCAGCCCGCACGAAAAAAACCACAGGCGGCCAAGGGCCGCGGGGCGAGGAGATCGACAGCTGAATGTCACCCCAAACTCGAAGGACCACGAGGGGATTCGCACCCGCGACCAAGTCGGAAGTTGCCGCCCATTCAACAAAGCCACGAGGAGCTACAAGGGGGCCACCGGCCACGAGACGGCCAGGTCACAGATTGCACGCCGCCCCAGACATGAGAAACATCGGGGGCGTCACGGGCCCGCGACCACGTTGAGAAGCTGTGCCGCTCCACTCACGAGGGGCCGCGAGTCAGCCATGGGCCACGGAGCGACCAAACCTAAAGTCGAACGCCACCCTATGCGACAACCGCAAATGGTCCATGAGCCCTCTCTCCGCCGGAACAGGCTGGTGACATTTTGTTTTTATTATAGGACCATGCAGTTGCCAGGGTCCCCAATCAGTGCTTTTTAAATCGGGCTCATCGATTGAGTAGTGAGTTGACGTGTGTGGCGAGGTTTCGTTTGGTGTCCGTTCGTGGGCGCCTCGTGGGCGCCTCGTGCACTTGGTGGCTTCACCGCTTGCACCATACAGCTTGCGCCTCATAGGTTCTCTTTTGTTTAGTAGGATTGGGTTCTGCCACGCCCAGACACACACACACACACCCTGGGATTATCTGCCCGCCTCTTCGTCTTGCAATGTACATATGACTTTGCCTCATCGCCAATCCTAGACACGAACTCGTATCATCCCAGCCAAAACGGATTCGAGCCTCCCCCCTACCATCCTCTACCAAAACAATACGCGCGCGCTCGTCAATCAAAACCAATCAATGTTCAAGAACTCCTTGGGAAAACGAGACGAAATGCACACTCGCGCGACGTCGCGCGCGCATCCCGAAATCTTTCAAAAACCGTTGGTGTCGTAAGGAGTTCAAAACCGAATGCCCCGAAGATGTGTAAGAATACACCTGGTGCTGCAGCATCAGTTTTCGACAAGAAAGTCTGCGCGCGCGCTCTTGCGAAAACTATACCGTAGTGTTCTCAACACTTCCATCAACTTCGACCAAGCGGGCCTCTCGCGCGCGCACGTCGAGATCATGCGAACGCAATTGCTCGCGTGATAGGGGGGGCACGATCCCTGTCAGATAATACCATGCGGGCCACTCGGGCGCGTCGGCCGCGCGCGCATGTCGAAATCCTTCCAAAAGAACTTCATCACGGACGCGAGGAAACCATCATCGTCATCGGCGTCATCAGCATCGGCGCCGTCATTCGCCATGCCATGTTCTTCGTCATCATCGTCACCAGCATCGTGTATAACGTTGCCGACGTCGCCATGGTGCCGCGCCCGCCCAAGTCATTGATTGGCACTGAAGTGCCCGGGCGAACGCGGCCGCAGAGATGCATCAGTCATCACCAAGCGGTCACCGCCATTGCTGCCGCATGGCTTTTGTCAACCAGGTTGTGGATGGGTGGGTGGGATGATTTCGCGAGCAATGGACTTAACAACACAACGTCTTACACCATCCGTTACATAACATAGTTTGCATCCATCGATTTTCCCACACAGATACACCACATAGCTTGCACAACGTGTACATACAACTTAGATTTCACCACACAGCTCACACCACATATGTTTTATATTAGTACATACACATAGGTATAGGTAACACGCGCATACGTGTGTGTATGTATAGATGTGCGCGTACACAGAAAAAAACAGGTGTAAGCATATATATATATACACACACATATATACATATATATATACATATATACATCTACGTGTACAAATACAGATACAAAGACACATGCTTAATCATACAAAACATTTTTGTGCATATATACACATATATATACATATATGTGTATATGGTTGTAAACATAGAACGTGGCGATGCATGTATTATAGCACGCAGATGTTACCACATCGATTGCACAGTACAGTGTCTACCACATTGGTTACTACAGACATTGCACCGCATAGCTTCCACCACGTAGCTTGCACCACATACATTTAACCACATGGCTTGCACCACACCCAGCTGACTCCAGCTGTTCCACGACCGCTGAAACGCAGCATTATGGGAGGCAACTGTTCGGGAAGGCAAGGGGGCAGACTTGCTGGGGGCGTCTCGGCGCAGAAGGCTCCAATTCTTGGTTCGCATTCCCATTTTAGGAGCAATTATCGTGGCCGTGTTGGGCAGTCATGGGTGCTTCTTGGACCGTCTTGGAGCCCTCTTGGGCCGTCTTAGAGCTCTCTCGGGGTCCTCGTGAGCCGTCTCGGGGGAATCATGAGTGCCTCTTGTGCCATCGTCGAAAAAGCGAGAACCCCAAGAGCAAAAAGGCTACGGACCATCAGCGGTTGTTACGTTTCGGTGCCCTTTAGGGGCCTCGTGGGGGCCTTTTTGGGCCTTTCTGGTGCCTCCTGAACCTTTGTGGGGCAGAAGGCTCGAAGTGTCGGTTCGTGTTCACCCTCTAGGCCGCTTCTTGGAGCCGTCTTGGGACCTTCTTGGGCAGTTTGGGACGCTTTCTCGGGCCGTCTTGGAGCCCTCTTGGGCTGCCCCCGGAACTTGTTAGGAGCTTGTCGAGCCATCTCGGGACAGTCTTTGTGACGTCTTGAGTCGTCTTGGGATTTCGGAAGCTCGAAAAGGCGAAAACACGACAAACATGGGAAAACAGAAAAGCAATCAATGAGTGTTGCTTCTCGAGGCCCTTTTGGGAAGGCTCTTGGTGCTCATTTTGGAATGTTTCGACGGCCTCGTGGGCCGTCTTGGAGCCATCCTGGGCCATCTTGAGGCCAACGTGGCTCGTCTTGGAGCGACTTGGGCCGTCTTGGAGACATCTGGGCGTCGGGAGCACGAACCTGTCGTGCGTTGCAAAGGATTGTTGCTGGGTGCGAAGAGCAGAGGGGGGGGAGCGTTAGATATGACACGAACGCAACCAGACAGACCTTGACAGCCTTCCACGCCTCGACGTGCACACCGCACGGTGGCGGATAGATTGCACCGCGCACCGCATTGCTTGACCCACGTCGATAATTCCACGCCTCCTCAGTGCAATAACACTGATTGGGGCCCACGCTGGCAAACATGGGTGGTATCGCACAGAGAAAAACGCTGTCGGCTGCTGTTTCGCAGCTTGTCGCTCGCGAGCGCCAAGAAGTTCCAAGAGCTACGCACTGCGCAGCCCGCCCCACACAAAAGTGTTGCGAGCCAGCTGGGGAAAAGGAGCACGCGCCACCGAATCATTGCTTCGCAAGCCAGTCCACACACGAATGCCAAGAGGGGCGCGGGCCAACAAGCGCAGAATCGCTTTTTTGTCCCAGCCATCCTGCGGTGTTAGGTCCTCTTTTTGTATAGGGAGAGGGGGAAAAGAAAAGAGAGAGAGAGAGAGAGAGAGAGGGAGAGAGCGCCCCGCGTTCCTCCTTCTTCCCCCCCCATGCCTCCTCGACCACAGAACCGAACATGAAGGAAGTGCACCGAACATGCTGGCACAAAACTTTGCATTATTGCTCGTTCAGGCCAGTAAGGCAGTAGGAAGTTAATGCCTGTTCTTCTCGCAGCGATTATGAGGCTCGTTGTTTGCAACCCTCTGGCCGCAACTTCGAACGACAGGCTGGAGGAGATCAGTCAGAAATTGCGAGGATGGGGCGTTGGTGGTACTGACGGGTACATGCACATGGGCTGGGCTAGAACCAGCACAGACGACGTATTTAAGCCACCACTTGGGGATGCAAACTGGAGGGGAAAAAAAGAGATGGAAATTTAAAGCGTGTGGAGCCGCACTTCCGGTGGCACGACACATAGACACAAAAGATTTCAGGCGCATACACCGACTGCCAGAAACAATGCAGGAATATTGTTAGCCAGCAAAGAGCTTCACGTGACCACCTACCTACCACCGACGAATTACCGCCACGATTGGCAAATATCACAATCTCAAAGTAGGCGGAAAGGCGCGGCGATATAATAGCATGCGGATCGGTGATTACGGTCGGAGGTAGAATCAACAGCAAGCTGGGATTGCACAGAGGAAGACCACGAGGCCCAGAGAGAAACAGGGCGCTCACAATCGGGCCACGGGCGAAAAACAAACAGAAAGACAGCGATACGGAATTCAGCAGCTTTACACACTGAATGAACTTGCGATTGCGGGAACAGATTACGATTATGGACCATGTCACTACAGCGCGACGGGAACAGCCATAGGTACCAGCCGCGTTGCAATCACGGTGGCCGGATTACATGCGGTCAGGAGCCGTGCAATTGTCAGAGCTACTTCGAAGAGGCCACACGTGGTCAAGAGCAGAGGGACAGGGACCACATACTAATAGGGATCGTGCTGCATGTGCCTGAAGCAGAGATTCCCCCAACCCAAAAGGATCAGGAAGTGGTAGACACAGAAGCGCTCACGGAGTGCATGAGGGGCGGCAAGATGCGCGGCGAGTCCTTTCAAGAACTCGAGGAAAAGAAACTGGAAGCGGGAAGGGAGGACCGGGAACCGATCTTGTCTGAAGCCACACCACATAGCGCTTGGAGAATGTGGGAAGAAGCTGCGAGAACGGCAAAAGCGGCGGCCTAGACGCTTTTTCCGCGGCGGCCCAGACGCTTTTTCCTTGAGAGAAGGACACCTCGAATTGCAATAAAAATGAAAAGAATGGGAGAGAGCGTGGTCGAGGTTCAGTCGCAGCAAGAGCATTGCAGCACTTGGCTGAAACATTGGCAGCCGCTTTGAAGAGGCGGAACAGGCGAGAAAAGCGATGTTGGCGCAAGCAACCTGGCAAGCTTACGAAGCCAACAACCCCAGCGAGGCGCACCGATTCAGGATTGAATACTGGAGCAATGGCAGAGGACCGAAGAAGCTGTACCCTTACTCTCCACTGGCTTGGCAGGAATCTTACGGCCGGCAAGCAGAGCTGGCAAAACGCCCATGCGATGGGAGGACTAGCAGCAGAAGGCACGAGCTTGGAATCAGTTGTAGATAGGGCGCGGACATCAGAGCTACAATTGGCAGTTGAAGATAGGGCGCAAACAGTTGTAAGTAGGGGGGACACGCCTCAGCTACCAGAAGGCGCGGACATCAGAGCTGTAATTGCCGAGGGCAAGCAAGACATGCCGAAGTAATGTAAGAAGCCGGCAAAGAGGAGAGCCGACCCACAGTGGGGAGCTATGGTAGAAGTGAATTGCACGATTCTTGACCCGATGGTGAATTAAGTTAGGAACGGCTAGAAGCGTTGAGTAGGAAGACCGAGGAGATGAAAACCAGAGCAGCAGGGAAGAAGGAGGACAGAGAGGAGATATCCAAAACGGTTCGATCTTCAGACATGCGAGACGAAGCGCTCTGCTACACAAGGTGGACGACGGGTAATAAAACATTATAGAACAGAGCGGAGGACAACCGTGGAGCAACACCTCGCGGTTCAGGATGTATCATTGCACCATGTGGGGCGGCATGCAGGCGCAGGACTGGGAACAAAGCAGGTTGGGAATGCAGAGATCCCGCTTGCCTGGCAAACTAGACTGAACGACGTCCCCACGCCGCGCAGGAAAGCAGAACTGACCCCTCTGGATCGGCACAGATCGCTTTCGCTTGCAGGAGACAAGCCCAGCGGGAAGGACGGGGCAGGAGGAAAGAGAGTGATGCACGCAAATTGTTCCACGGGGATGGCACGGCGCAGGGGGGCACCCACTAGAGAACAGGCGCCAAGGTAGTCACGTTGAGCACAAGAAGGACTCAATGACAGATGCGGACGCGCACTGCAGCGACATCGCGGAGAGCAAAGGGTGCAGGAGCCAATTGAATACACAGTAATGACACTTGTATGGATGCGTTTGCCAGCGCTTACTCACCACTAATCGCCGTTTCAGCGTGGGCGACGTCAACGGAGAGAGACATGTCATTCGCAATGCAAGCCGTTAGTTGCACGACCACGAATGTGGAGTCGGCGGTTGGATACATGCATCCGCGAGACAGGGGGCGCAGATGGGTTGCACACTCTGTCCAAGTCAGTTCAACGACACATGCACACATGCAGCATCCACGCTAACAAATGGAGGCAGGAAGAGAGAGAGAGAGAGAGAGAGAGAGAGAGAGAGAGAGAGAGAGAGAGAGAGAGAGAGAGAGAGAGAGAGAGAGAGAGAGAGAGACAGAGAGAAAAGAGAGAGAGAGAGAGAGAGAGTGAGAGAGAGAGAGAGAGAGAGAGAGAGAGAGAGAGAGAGCGACGAGGACCAAATTCTGCACGATACGAAGCTTCCGACAACGGGGGGCGAATACGATTTGGATGTAGGTACGTTCATGGACGAGATCGATACGCGGGCGAGTACGATCAGACAGGGGATGAAGACCAGGAGATCGCGAAACCGCCCAACAATCTGACTCGATGATTCGCTCGCACAATCGAGAAAAGAGAGTGGAACAAAACCTCTGGGACACAAAAGTAAACTTCTTTTTCCATGGGGCGATCGGGAAACGCGACGACTACCAGACTGCCGCGACGGATGAAGACATCGGCATGAGCCACCACGCGAGATGCGAGCACCAGGGCCGCGCGCCCCGGGAGATCCGGGACTTGGAGGAGAGACGCAGAAAATATGTCCACCGATGAGAACTGCTCTGAGACAGCGCCAGAGCCGCTGGGGACCAGAGGAGACCGCAGACCAGGTCAAAAACAACATGTCCATTGCACCTGCGCTGGGAACTGGACTCCGCGGGCTGGCGGCGCGCGCCCCCCCCCCCCCCGACAGATGCAGGGATGCACTGGGAGGAAGAATGGGGGAAAACGGGCTGCGCGAACCTTGACGGGGAATAAAGATGCCACGGCGCCAAGAGCGTTTTCAGGGATTGGGGCCTGGAAAGATCCAAAGTAGCATTGGGTGCGTTGCGACTACGGCGGCGCCGACAATGGGCGCCGCACCCGGGAGGCCACGCGGACGCGCGCTGGCAGCTGCGCTTGGGGGGGCTCAATTGGACGGGGGGGAACGTGGAACGCAGCGACCTTCATTGACGGGAGAGCACGCGCGACTTCCACGCCTCGGGCCAAGCAGGTCTTGGAGGATGCCATGCAACTAACGGGGGGCAGCGAGGATGTGGAATTCTGCTTCGGGGGGCGCAGCATTCACGTAGCGATATTCACACAAGGCGCCAGAGGGTGGGAATGCCAGGTAGGCGCAGACGCAGGAATACGAAAGCGCGCAACAATACATTGAAACGAGAAACACCTGCAGCTGCAGAGGGGAAGGGATTCATCATGGGGGAGACGGAGGGAGGAGGTGGACAGAGGTTTGGGGCAGCAGCGGCCCGAGCGGCCCAGGAGACACAAGAGAGAGAGAGAGAGAGAGAGAGAGAGAGAGAGAGAGAGAGAGAGACCCTCCTACCCCTTGCTCGCTAGTGACGAACCAGAGCTCACGGTGTCTCAGTACATCTGCGAATAGGAAATTTGCCGTGGACCGCGTGCGATGAGCGACAGGGGTCCACGGACTGCGCCACAGGGAGCACAGTTGCCGGGGGCACCTCTTGCAAGAACCCTTCGCACTCAGCACGGACAGCTGCAGCCTGTAACCACAGGGGCGCAGGGCCTCCTCCGAGTTTCCGCATCGCGCTCGGCCACGCCGCCCAGCGCCTGAAGGAGCAGCACGCGCAGAAGAAGGATAACGCGGGGGCGGAAGCGACCTGGAGATTGAAAAGACGCGGGGGCGGGGCCGACATCGGACCCCAGAAAACCATAAAGGGGAAGGGCAAAGAGCGCCAACGGGCCAGGGGGCGGGGCCTACTCTCAGACGGCGGCAGGCAGCGTAGGAGATGGGGGCCATGGAGACAGAGGGCGACAACCATTACAAAGACTACCAGATATCATTGCCGCGGCCAAGGCCCAAGAAGCGCAAGCGAGATCAGTGGCTCCATGCGCGGGAACACCGACTTCTGCAAATAGAAAGGAAACCGCCCCTTTGTTCGGCGGGGGGCTCGGGGCGGCAAACTGCGCAGAGTGGGGCCTTGAAAGAAAACATGGCCCTCAGCACGCGCAAGTGGCGATATCTGTCGCAGAAGGCCCGCAGGGGCTCGCAGGGGACCTGGCAGTGAGAGTGGGCCAGGAGAAGGAAAAGGAGAATGGAGATGGCCAAGAAAAGTACCGACCGACTGGTCGACGATGATCAGCACCAGCAAGATGGGCCCGACGATTATCACGGCGAGCACCCCCGCGTGCAAGGCGGCGGAAGCACGCGGGGG